TACTATGAATACTGAATATTTAATATTTTAAAAGTTGGATGTCATTGGAATGATTGATGTCCTAACTGAAAGACAAAGAATATCTTTCAAGAGTATATAAATTTATAATCTTTTTTTTTCAGAATTCTGGGACCTTTGATTGGCTTGTTCGTTTTTGAGGATCGTCGGGGGTAGCCAGGAGGAGGAGGGGGGTTACGTTAACCGAAAAATCAACTTCAAATGGCCTAAAGAACACTTGAACATAAACTATGTATTTGTATGGTCTTGTTATGTGGAAAGGAGCTGAATACGTAATATTGCCAAGTGAATGAAATCAGTTAGTTAAAGTTGAGAATAACACGGTGGTCTAGGAAATGCGTGACAATAATTTAAATTTTTATTGTATTCAAATTTTAGGATATGTAGAGAATCGTAAACAATGGAAAACAGCTGTAACATTTTTTTTCATTTCCGGTCTTTGGTATTGCATTCGGGTGGGCGCAATCCATGTTTATAACGTGTCAAAAATAAAAGTTCCATGAGGAACTATAATATATAACAATGCAAAAATAAATTTAAGCTCTTTAATTATCCTTACATCAAATTCTGTCTTTACTGTCTTTGTACTAAAGCCAACACTAGAATTTTTAAATTTAAGTTCTTTACCACTAAAATATTTCAATACAAATATTGGATGCATAATATCATTCTAATAATCCATGTCCAATATTAACAGTCATATTTATTCTTAAAATCCATTCAAGTTCTTTTATTGAAGATAAACCTTCATTTTTGCGTAATCCATTATAAACAAATTTAACTTTAGGAGACTTTGCTGATCCATAAAAATTAAGATTTTTGTATTTTCGAATTTTTTTTTGATTATTTATTCAGTATTTTTTTATAATAATTTCAAGCTACTGTATACTAAATTTTCCTTCATTTATTTGGCTTTGTTTGTCCACTCAAAAATTTTATAGAATGAGCATTTCAACCTTTTTATTACAAGAACACATGCTATAATAGATATAAAGTAAATTATAGTTATTTTTTAAGTTTTCGTTTTTATAGAATATAACATGTTAATATCACACCATTACGGCGCATTTGCGGAATTAAGCTAAAATTCGGTCACCAAATCCGAATATTTAGTCCCCCAAATTAAATTTTAGTTACCAAATCATATATTAATAATTCAATATCAAACCCCGAAAAATTTTTTTGGACCTCTGATCTAAGACTGATACGTGTCTAAACCATCTTCCCACGGGCTATCCCATCTTCCCACCCTGTTAGACTTATAAAATTATTATAATGACGCACCTTAACCTGGGAATCATTGATTATCTCAGCTAAAATTAGTATTTACATATTAGTAGTCAAAATTTTTCAAATTTTGGGGTAGTTTACAAATGCGCCGTAATGCACGATTATTTTTACAGTATTAATGTTCTTATGAAGTCGTGTCCATGTTTTTTTTTAATTATTAGAAGTGTAATTTAAAGATGATTAAGTAACG